CACACACACACACACACACACACACACACACATTCCTCTGGGACTGATCAGGGCTTGAACGACACCCCAGATGACTCCTTGCTATTAATTCCCACACAGAGAATGGGCCCCTTGTTCTCTTCTCCCGGAGGAATGGCAAAGCCATCCCAAGAGCGCCTGACTTAACCCTTCTCCCAGCTGCTCCGATGCCTGTCCCTGCACCCAGAACCAAAGGGCCAGCTTGGGTGATGCAGGGTATAGACAGGGAGGGAGTCTGGAAGGACAGGGGCTCCTCCCAGCCTGGGCTCCCGGAACAAAGTCCAGGCAAAGGAAAAAAGGCCGCCCCAGCCCAACCAGCTCCACAACTGAGGGCAGATGGGAAGCTCAGGGCCAGCCATCCCAACCCTGAGGGGGTTAACGAGGACAGGTGAGGGACACCTGCCAGGGCAGGCTGTGTGAGAGACTGTCCCTGCCTCCCGAGGATGGAGGAGGAACTGCTACTGCTCCTCCTTCCCTGGTCCCCACTCCCACTCCTACCAGAGGCCAACCGGACCATGAGAGTGGGCAGGGCCTCAGAAGCCATGTCACCTAGCCCGTAACTGTGCATGAAGGGAAACTGAGGGCTAGAGAGGGGGCAAACCTGGCTCCCATCTCTTAGTAAGTCAGCGGCACGGCCCAGGGCCACATCCCTACCTTCTGGACCCAAATGGGTCCTCCTTCCTCTGGTGCCTCTGTTTCCAGTGACCACCCTTGCTCAGCACTGCCCTGCCCTGCTCTGCAGGCCTGGCTGTGGGACCCCAGCAAGTCATCTTGGGACACAGGAAGGGACTCCACCATCAGCCCCATGTCATTATCTGTGACCTTTGCCTATTGCCAGGATGGAGCCCAAACCCTCCAGCCCAGGGCTCTGTGAGGGTCACGGCCCAGGGAGACTCTGGCCCATCTCCCTCTGCCTCAGCCAGCAGACACCGGAAGTGGATCCCAAGGGCAGCCAGGAGGGGGCCCAGAGGCAGCGGCAGGGGAGCAGAAACGGGAGAGGGTGCGGGGTGCTGGGCACAAGCCTGAGGGAGGGGCAGGGTGACCTGGGGCCTGGGGAGAAGCAAGCTGAAACATGGGCTGGAGCCAAGGAGGCGGGCCCTGAAGTCAGGCCAGGAGGACCGCTTCAACCAGGGCCAACTGCTCTGCAGCCCTCTGCACAAGACTGGCACCTATAACTTGTCGTCTCTTTGTGGTTCTCATTTGCCCAGGTTCTACCACTCCCAGGCAGCTTCCCCCATCTGCAGTGGACAGAGAAATGCACAGAGAAAGAGATGGAAGGGGGGCGGAGAAAGAGAGAATATAAATGTGCCAGGGAGAGAGATAGAAATGGGAACCTTGAGGGCAGAGATGGGCTGAGAGAGGAGCAGCGATGGACAGACAACTGGAGCCAGGGCCAGGGAGGACCTTAAACAGAAAGACACTGAAAGACAGCAAAAATCAACGAGGAGCCAGGCGTAGTGGTACATGCCTGTAACCCCAGCACTCTGGGGGCCTGAGGCAGGAGGATCACAAGTTGGAGTACTACTTGGGAAACTTAGTGACTTAGCAAAACACTGTCTCAAGATAAATTTTCAAAGGGAGCTGGGATGTAGCTCAGTGCAAACACACTGGTTTCAATCCCCAGTCCCGAAAATGAAAACAACAACCAAAAAAAACCGATGAGGTCAAAATTAAGAAGCCTCCCAGAGAGCGGAGGTGGTGGTCAGAAAGAGGAAGCAAAGTGGACAAAGAAAGAAATCAAGGCAGAGCCAGAAGTGGAAAGAAGGCAGAAGGAAAGGTCAGGAGGAAGAGGGTTCTATGGAGGGGGAGGAGGGACAGAGGCAGCAGCTTCAGCCAAAAGCCCAGAGCTCAGGGTCTCCTGGGCTCCTCCGCAGCACTGCAGGTCACAGCACACTGCTCCCCAGCAGCCATACACTACCGATGTGGCCAGCAGTGCCCCCTGGCACCTGGCCTTCCCCAGCCAGGACTTGGGTGTGAGGGGGATCAGGAAGCCAGTGGGATGGAGTGTCCTCCCTGAGCGGGGGAATTTCAGGGCTGGGGAGGGGACTTCAGGAACTGGTTATCACTACCATGCACATCGTAATCACAGCTGAGCTTTTAAAAATACAAACTCACAAGCTCAAGGACCCAAGTTCGATCCCTGGTACAAAAAAAAATACAAACTCACACCTAAATCTACCGTTCCAAATGGCGCCTTAAAATCAGCATTCACAAGCTCTCTGAAGATCGTGCTGCAATGCCCGGCGTGGGCCACCCTGGCAGCTAAGAAACAATGGTGGCCGGAGAGAGGCTGTGCCCACCTGCGGTCACGCAGCCATTCCACAGAGCCCAGCCTTCCGGGAAGCCCGGCCCAGTCCCAGGCCCAGGGTCTTCCCTCCATAGGGCAGGCACCCAGGGACTGCTGGGTGCCAGGCACACAGGAAGGGTTTATTGGGCAGTGGCCTTTCCACTTCCCTCTGTCCCTCTGGCCTCAAGGTGAGGACACCCGGCTTTCCAGGGGCTGCCCTGCTAGTTACCATCCTGAGGCCCAGGAGGCAGGCAGGCAATCGGCCAGAATGGGATTTCTGTCCCCTTCTTCCCACCCCCGTCCCCCCAGTGCCAAGGCCTGGGGCTGCGAGCCCTCGCCAGAGATGGGGGTGGAAGGTGGGGCAGGAGGAGAAGGAGGCGGGGCAGCAGAGGAGCTTCCTGTCTGCCCCCCTCTGCCTCCCTGGGCTCAGGGCCGGGTCCCCTGGGGCGGTGGCATCTGAAGCTGACAGATCTGCCCTGTCCTTCCTGCCTGCTGGGGATCGGGTGGAGTGCTCGGATCTCCCATACTGCCCTCCCTTCTCCAGGTCCTCCGGGGCTCGGCTTCCCACTAACCCTGGCCTGACCCCCAGCACTCCAGCCTTGTACTGGGGATCACCTGTCCCCTGCACATGGGATCCTGGACAGGCCTCACCTCTGCCCCCCAGCCTCCCCCTTGGGCTCATCCTCTCTCCCTGCCTCCATAGCCTCTCTCCAATGGTCCTCCTCTTAAAGCTTCCTTCATTCATTCCAGGCACCTCCCGAGCACTGTTACTGAGCTGCCCACCGAGCGAGTAGTCACCAAGTGACATCCTCGTGGGGAAGACAGACAAGGAATAACCTGGCAATAATTACATAATCATAAATTGCAACGACCACCACGGAGGAAAAGTCCAGGGTGCTGCTGGAGAGGAGAGAATTACTGGTACCAAAGGATCCAGGGAGGTATCTCACGACTCACCTTTAGGCTGAGCCCTAAGGAGGGGTTGGCAGAGAAGGGATGTGTGGGTCCTCCTCCTACAGCAGAATGATGTGACCCAGGCCAGGGGACAGGCCCGCTGAGGACAGAAGTGGGACAAGGTTTTTAGTGAGTCATCTCCATGGTTAATGAGCTCAGTAAGCACTCACTGAGCACCTGCGGTTTGCTCACAAGTCCAACCCTGAGCAGCTGGCAAGGTGGGAGACAAAACCAGACGTGGGCCTTGTGCTGTGCAGCCTTGAGACCCCTGACAGGAAGTCTGACGCAGCCAATTCCCTCACCGTACAGGTGAAAAATGCACCCCAAAGAGGGCAGCTGACTTCCCCAAGGTCACACATCAAGAGCTGGGACCTGATCAAAGTCCAGCACAGCGCTTCTCATTGCACCTGCCAAAGCCAGGTCTGTAAGACTTGAACTCTGGATCCTAAGCCCCAACAGGAGACATTCAAACTATCTGGTTTCTCAACTCACCACCCAGTTGGCAGGTGAGACAAAAATGCCAGGGTGCAAGCCAGGTGTGGTGATACATGCCTATAATCCCAGCCCTCTGGGAAGCTGAAGCAGGAGGATTGCAAATTCAAGCCCAGCCTGGGCAATGTAGTGACTTGGTGAAACTCAGAATCAAAGTAAAAAATAAAAAGTGCTGGAGATGTAGCTCAGTGCGAAGGCCTTGGGCTCAGTCCCCAAGATGCAAGGAAGCAGACCCAGCCTGAAGGCCCAAGGCCTCGGCCTGGCAGCCCATGGCTGTCACACTTTGAACCAGAGCTCCTTGGCCTGTGAACACACCCCGGGGTGGGCCCCAGAACTGCTCTTATCTCAGTAGCTCAACTCCACCCTTGCCTGGGGGGCCACTGTCCTGGTTTAGTAGCCCCCACCCCCCCACCCCCACTGGCGCTGAACACGACAGGACAGAGAGGAGGCAGCGGCTTTGTCTCAGGCCCTGTGTCAAGCCCTTGCCCCTCCTTGTTCCTCTCCATCTGTGCGACATTCCCACGAGGCAGGTATTGTCATCCTCATTTTACAGATGGGCAGACTGAGTCGAGGGAAGATTATGTAACTTGGCCCAATCCCACCTCCCATAAGTGGGGCAAGGGCCAGCCTCCACCTCTGGTCTCTCTGGCCCCATATCACTCAGTTCCCCTTTTCGGTATAAAGTGACATCATCGGAGAACAGCAATCTCTTTGCAGTGCAGAGGACCCTTTGGCTCACCCAAACTACAGCAGTCCCTCGGCACCACCCATGTCCCCTTCTAGGGGATACAGGTAGCCACAGGAGAGCAGGCAGATGGGCGTCCTGGGCTCCCTCCACACCCAGCCTGGTCCTGGATGACAGAGGAGAGTGACAAGAAATCTAGAGTGGGGCAACAAAGAAAAAATAAGCCAGTTGTCACCTGCAAGCTGGGCAACCTTGACAAGCTCTTTCCCCTGTGCCCCATCATTTGGCACCAAAGTCCCTAGAGCAGCTCCAGTCCCTCGGGGACAACACCAAAGGTCCCATCAGACCCAGGCCATCCTCTTTACTCTCTTCTTTCCTGCCACCTTCACCACCTGCCACCCGCATCTACCATGTTGTCCAGAAAGTGGCTGGGAATGACTGACAACAGGGCAAATTCCCAGCACATCCACAAGTCCTCGCCACACACAGGCGGCAAAGCCTCACCTAGGGAGGGTGCGTCCTCCCGAAAGAGGTGATGTCCGGTTCCACAACTGAATGGTCACATGACCTCAGTCACCTGCTTCCCTTTCCGTTTGGTTCAGCAGGCTGGTAACCCTGCCCTTGCTCTGCCAGCCTCCAGGGTTAATGGGGAGCAGGTAGCGGGACATCAATGGCAGTGCTTAACAGGCAAGAAGCAATGACTACTGCAAAACCCAAAGTCAGCTACCACTACCCTTGGCAGGCAGAGCCCCAAAACCCTAATAACAATAGCTGCCCTTTACTGGCCCGCACTATGTGCCAGGCGCCATCCTGAGTGTTTACAGAGACTATCTGATTTAATCCTCACGCCAGCCTGGAAGGAAACACATCCAGAAACTTTAAGCCACTTGATAAGGACATACAGCTCTAAAGTGGAGGTGCAGGATCCGGGCTCAAAGCTGTGAGTCTCCGCACCTCCCCTACATGCAAGTCACTCACTGGTTCTTCCCTGGGACCTGCGTGCCACGCTGACACAGGGGCAGGACCCAGCTCTGGGGTGCACACCTAGCAAGATGAGGTCCCGCTGGGAAGAAAGCTGAGCAGGGCTGGGGGGAGGTGGCAGGCAGAGCCTCGGCACAGGCCAGTGGCAGAGCAGGGACCCCAGCCTTGCAGCCCTGGCTGCAGCCAAGGTCAAGGGCAGTGTGGAACATGGGGGTTGTAGGCTCCATCCTGGGACTCCATCCTGGGGAGCTGAAGAATGGCAGGCAGCATCCCAAGGGACATCCAGGTCTCCCTGGGTTAGAGAGCCTCTTTGGCTCTCAACACAGAGGGCTGGAGGGAGAGGACAGGAAGTGCAGGACCCAGGATGGGAGGGAAGCCACGGGTAGGGAGGTGAGGCTCTTACAGCGCAGGGGACCAGGCCCTCGGGACAAGAGCTGGGTTCCACTCAGCCCAGGCCCCTGCCCAGGCCTGACACTAAGGAGTCACCTGCAAACATTAAACCCGCAGACGGAATCAGAACCCAAGGCAGGGCCACCCACGTGTAAGGGACATCACATCTCGGGTGCCAAGGAGCCTCTGAGGCCACCCCCAGCAGCTATGTCCTCTCTGGAACACCATTCCATCAAAAACTGAAACCAGGGCCAGGGATTTAGCTCAGTGGTTCCACCGCCTGCCTCGCAAGCGCAAGGTCCCGAGTTCAATCCCTGGTACCAAAAAAAACCAAAGAAAACTGAAACCATCCCATCAAAAACTCAGCCAGTGTCAACTGGTAAAAGTGTTAATAATAATTTCATAATTTAAATATGAGATTCAGGGCCAGGGATTTAGCTCAGCGGTTCTGCTGCCTGCCCCAAAAGTGCAAGGACCCGAGTTCAATCCCCTGCAACAAAACCATAAATAAATAAATAAATAAATAAATAAATAAGAGATTCATATTTAAAACAAAGAGCAATGTCTTAACTGTAGAACTTTTTAAATTGCAGAACTTAGAAAAAGAATTCGTTGGGGGGAAGGGGCTCAGGCCTGGAGATTGAGCCTCGGGCCTAGTGCATGCCAGACAAATTCGTAAGCACTGAGCTACATCCCTAGCACCCTGCCCCCCTGTTTTTGAGAGAAGACCTCATTAAGTTGCCCAGGCTGGCCTTAAACTTTCAATTCTCTTGCCTCAGCCACCGGAGTGCTAGGATCAGAGGCATATACCACCGTACCCAGGAAGAACCTACAACTTTTAACAGGCCCACAAGCCATGCATCTCTAGTAAAGCCAGCATCTCCTAAGCATACCTGCCCAGACAGCTGTCCTTTAAGGGACACGTGTGGCTGTCCTGAGAAACATCCACGTCCAAGGCACCACTTCAGAAAGTCAGGCCAGGCTCTGGCCACCTGTTTTGAAATACAAGTCATAGGCTATCAAATCTCAAAATGCCCTTAGTGTATAATCTATACTGTCTCTTGATTTACAGATAGGGAAACTGAGGTCCAGAGATGGAGGAAGGTTGCCAAGGCAACCCAGGGCTCTGCAGCCATTGGGACTTGACCCCAGCCCTTGGGTTCCAGGGCCCAGTTCCAGCCCCTCGTTCAGTAGTACTAGGTCCTGGGTTTCCACGGTGGCATCAAACCCTGAGCTCTTCCAAGCCAGGGCCTGGTCTCCATCACCTCTTAGCCCCAGCTCCTGGCCCTGTGCCATCCCCTCCCCCCAGAGCTCAGAGACATTGAGGACTGAGACCAGGAAGAGCTTTGTGGCAGTGGGGTTTGAATGAAGACAGGAAGAGGCAGTCTCCTTCGGAGAGGGCTTCCAAGAAGAGGGCAGAGGCCAGGCTGCCCGAGGCGGCACTGGGCACTGGACCCAGCTTCCTTGTTCCCGGAGAGGAGGAGTTGGGAGAGAAGGAAGATTCAGGTCCCAGGAACGGCCTCCAGCTGGGACCAGAACAGGGAGGGGCAAGCACCTGGGTTGGGACAAGCCCCGGGAGACCTTCTGGCCCAGGACTCAGGCCCTCCATCTCCAGGAAGCACTCTGGCCAGCCCCAGCCTCCTGTCTTTCCCTCTTTGGACAGAAGCTGAACTGAGGGAGATGACCCGAACTCATGCTGAGCCCAGGAGAGGCTAAGCCCAAGGAGGCCGCATGGCCTGCCGGGCAGGGACAACAGACTTCCTTGTGTTCCTCCTCCAGAAAGAATTCCAGCCACAGTGCCCAGAAGCCATCACTGAGCCAGGCTGCCAGCAGTGACTGCACCCCGAGCAGGTGAAGAGGACAGAATGGCACCCCAGGGGGAGGGCCCAGTGAGGAGCAAGGCCCAGCAGGAGAGGAGGAGGACACAGGCCCACGTGGCTACGCCCAGGGTCTTTGGGAGCAGACAGAGTGCTCAGGGGCTGGACTCGGCAGTAAACCCCACGCCCAGTCCAGGCCCTACCATCATTAACCGATGAGCACAGGCCCTTACCAGAACCTCTGTGACTCAGTTTCCTTCCTAGAATAACAGCAGACCTATCATTAGGTTATTGAGAGGACAGAGTCACATAACAGGAGCCCCCTGAGCCGGGCCAGGCCCCAAAGAGGCCATGGAAGTGGTCTCCCCACTGCTGAGGGTGTGCAGGCGGGGAGGCCCTCTGTGAGGGAGGAGGTCATTTCACAATGCCCTGGCCTGACATCAGGGTTGACAGGCGGATTAGCAACTCCAGAAGGTGACTCCGAAATGGTAGGCAGCTCAGTAAAGGCCCACGCAGGACGACTGAGGTGCACAGCTCCACACCGCCAGTACAGGCCCAATGCCTTCCTCTTTTTCTTTTTTCTTTTTTTTTTTAGAAAAGGTCTCACTATGTATCCAGGGTGGCTTTGAATTCAGGGCGATCCCCCTGCCCCAGAGTCCAGAGTGCTAGGCTCACAGGTATGTGCCACCGCACCCAACATTCTCTAATTCACATCTATTGGGCAGTTACTAAACTAGGTACTTGGTGTGTGTGTGTTCTTATTTCTCTCCCCCACTTGGGAATATAATTTCATTATCAGCATTTTACACATGCAAAACCAACTCCTGAGGGCCGCAGCATAATTTACCCAAGGCCTCTTGGGTGTCAGAAGGGGGTTCCCAACTCTGATCGCTTTCTGCTGCACCCAGACTGGGGCGGGCACAGCCTTGCCCAGAGGTGCACGTGCCCTAAAGGTGTTCAAGGAAAGCCACACCCCCTCCGCATCCCCCACCCAGTGAACTGGGGCTCCGGGGCATGGCTTCTGTCCCTGCCACAACTCTGCCCTTGACTTCCAAACCTGCCTCTCTGCCCTCAACCTCCTTTCCTGCCACACTCCAAACCCTCTTGGACATCGGGATCTATGTCCCCTGCAGCTTCCAGCCACAGGGTGCAGAGCCCACCCCAACCATTTCTGTGGAGATTCTGGCTCTGGCAGGGGCCTTTCACAGCCTCAGGGCTCCCTGGGAGAGGGAGCTCCCTCCTGGTAGTTCCCTACCAGGGAACTGCAAAAAGCATCCCTGCCCCTCATCCCCAGAAATTCAGATTAACCAGTCTGGGGTGGGATCTGGACTTCAATATTTTTCTTAAATCCTACAAGTGCTAAAAAAAAAAAAAAAAAAAATTCCACAAATGCTTGCCCCAATGCTGCTTGCCTAGAATCTAAACTACCTGGGAAACTGAGGGAGAAAGATTATAAATTTGAGGCCACCCTGTCTCAAAACAAAAAAGAAAAAGGCAAGACTTCTAAAAATGCATCTCAGGCAGCAAGAATGAGACCCTGAGACCAATCCTAGGTGGTGCAGACCTCAGCCCCTGTCCCAGCACCAAGTGAGAGCCTTAAAAGATCCTCCAGGCCCGGGAGGGGCGGGACATAGCTGAAAGCCACCATCAAGGGGGCAACCGGAAAGGTGGCACCCACAGGTGCTAAGAGGCGGGTGTCCCCTCATCTGATCTTTACCATGTCCTGTGTAGGGATCCAGAAGAGACCCTCATGGCGCTGCAGGGAAACTGAGGCTGGGCAGAGACACACCTTGACCAGAGCCACCCCTTACCCCTGCATAGTCCTAGCCCCACCTTCATCTCAGCTTGTCCTGGGGGCCTGGCTAGGAGGGGATGAGCATCCCCCTGTGAGACAAGTGAGGGACCTGGGCCCAGGTGGAGGCCTTAGGAGGGCTGGGGGCTGAGGGGCGAGGTCACAGGTGACCTGGGCAAAGACCCCCTCTGAGAAAACTTGGGACCAGAAAACCCTGCAGACCCTGCAAGGCCTCTAGCCTGGGAAGGAAGTTCCACTCCACCAGGCACTCAGGTCTCAGCTCTCTGCAGGGGACACATGGGGACAGCGGCCCCCACAGAGCTCACCATGGAGAGGACAAGCCCCATCAGGTCAGAAGAACCCTGGGAGAGATCAGGAATGGGGGGTAAAGAGACCCCTTCCACCACCACCACCCCGTAGGGGAGAAGCAGAAGGTAGCACTGGCCACCCTGCCAGAGCAAAGCCAGGGTCTTCAGCCAGGTTCCTGGCCCCTTCTCCGAATTCCTGGAACTGCAAGGATGCATGGGGGGTGGGGCACTGCCCTCCCCTGCTGGAGAAAACTGGGTCCCTGGGGATGGGATGCAGAGGATCCCACCTGCTACGCTGGTGGGCAGGGAACATGTTCACAGCAAGGGTCCCCAACCTGCACAGCCCTTCCTGAGCACCCCTGCAGGCCACCTGCCTCACCCACACACTCCACTCAGGCCAAACACAGCACTAAGGGCAACAGGGTGTGTGCAGGGATGAGGAGGAGAGAGAGGGAGCCGCTGTCTGGTGTGGCTTCCCTGCAGACTCAGAATGCCCACTGCTACTCCCTCCCCTTCCTGGCAGCTGGGCCAGGGAGGGGGGGCAGGGAGCTGGAGAGGGGAGAGCGGTGAGACCCCCACCCGAGTCCTCACTGGGGCCCTCTCCCTCCACAGCACTCCTCCCTGCCCCAGGGCTCTCAGGCCCAGTCCCAGGCCCAGCAGGGAGCAGGGAGGTCCTTCTCAGGAGAGGAGGGACCAAGGGGTGGAAGGATGAGCGGGGACCCACCGGGAGAGAGATGCTGGGCAGGCGGGCATCGGACGGGCAGCAGCGGGCGTTGGAGACCGCTGTTGGGCAGCCGGGACACAACTGGCTGGATGCTCGTCCCTCCGTCCCTCTGTCCATCCAGGGCGGCTCCTCTCCGGGCGGTTCTGAGGCCGGGCGGGCGCTGTTAAAAAGCTTTTTATGTGTGTGTGTGTTAATCACATGATTGCCGTTCACCTGTATTTCGAACAAAGACAGCTCACTGTTTCAAGGCCCCGAACAAGAGTCTGGGCACAGGGAAGAGAAGGGAGGCGGGGGGGAGGAGGGTTGGCAGCGCCGGGGGTGGCGTCGAGGAAAACTGGGGGGAGATTGTCCAAGGCCAGCAAGCAAGAGAAAGAGAAAACCCTTATCAAACTCCTAATTCACTGGGCTCCGCGGCCCCAGATACACTGGCCCGATTGTCTGGCTGGTTGTGTGTGCGCGAGCATGTGTGTGTGTGTTCCGATGTCCGCCACCCCCCAACATGCCTTCGCCTCGTGTGACTACCTCATTGTATCCCGATACCCGCCCCCGCCAGCCCCTGGGCCTTCCCAAGCAGGAGGCCTTGCCTGCCGGGACCCCCATCCACCCCCAACTCCAGACCAAACCCCCTTGGGCTGGGCCCCAGGGGCCTCGCTCAGCTGGGACCCACACGTGGTCACCAGCATGGCCTGGGCTCTTCCGCCTGTAGCTCCATGTGCACCCCACCTTTGCCTTCACTGGGAAGAGAGAGGGCCGTGCCCTTGGGAGGCGAGACCTAGGAAAGGGGAGAAGAGAAGGAGCTGTGGGCTGATGGGCAGGAAGGGCAGGGAAGGGGAGGAGAGGAGGGAGAGGAGGAAGGAAGCCCGACCCAGTGCAGCTGCCAGCCCTTCTAGAGCCGGGAGTGGGGGACTCCCTTCTTCCAACAGGTGAGCCCAGGGGGTCCCAGGAAGCAGGACCAGGACGGCCTCTGAGACCTGCAGGGCCCCAACCTGTCCCACCTCGGCTTCCTGACACTGGGTGTCTGGAGAGCGGGGGCTGTGGGTTGAGCTGAGCCACCCACACTGGGCAGGGGTGTGCAACTGACCCTGCCTCAACAGGTGGGGACCTGAGCGCCTGCTCCTGCGGTATAGCTCCGGGTGGCTGAGGCAGGGGGTGTGGGGACAGAGACAGGCCAGTAACAGTGCCTGGCTCACAGTAGGCGATTTCTTAAACGAAGCAACATAGGCCTGCCGTCCTCACGGGTCATGGGACTCTCACCCACCTTCTCGGTCCAGTCCTTGGCCAGCTGCCTCTCTCATCACCTGGGGCAGAGGTTGGGGGTCCCTGATTTTCCTCCAAGCAACAGGTCCCACCCCTGCCACTCAGGTCTATTCCTTCCCTGGCCTAATCACCCTACTCCTACTCCTACGTCCTCCCGCCCAAACCCAGGCCAGGCCGGGGATATAGGCCTGGGCGGCGGTATGGGAGACTGGGGGGGCCTGGGCGGGGTGGAGGAGCCCTGTGTGTTGGGGATGAAGGCGAGCACTGGAGGCTCCACCTTCTGCCCTTCCCTCCCTCTCTCTCCCTCCCCCTCCCCCTCCTTCCTTCCCCAGCCCTCCGCAGCCGCTCCGTTGCTCAGTCAGTCTCAGGCTGTCCGGCCACGGTGGTTGGTGGCTAGGATTCAGGCTCCGTCCCAAGGAGGCCGTGGCCTGAGGCTCAGGGCCCCCCAGCCCCTCCCTCCCAGCCCAGCAGCGTCACCCCCCAGCCCCGAGCTGGACCGCACACCTTGGGACACGGTTTTCCACTTCCTAAGGACGAGCCCCAGGCTGGAGGAGAGGTCGGAGGAGGTGAGTGCGGCCAGGCCTGGGCCCCCCACTTAAGGTGGGAGAGGCTGCCACCCCGCGCCACGCACGCCACGCACGCGGCCCCCACCCGGCTCCCCTAGACTCCATCAGGGTGGGTGGAGGGAGGAAGGAGAGGTGAGAGAAAAGGTGGGAAATTCCAGGGGCCCGGATTAGAGCAGAATAAAGGGTCCGTTTTTCTTCCTTTCCATCAACAAACCTCCACCCAAAAGGAGGTTTATTTAAAAAAAAAAAAAAAAATCCCACCTACACCCAGAGACGGTTGGGACTGGGGTAGGAGGACGCGGAGGGAGGCGGGACGCGCCCACCCGGGGTCTGGCATGTGCGAGGGCCCAGGGCGGGCGGAGCGGAGCGGTGCAGCGCGAGCAGGGAGGCCGCCACCTCGGGCCGCGCGCAAGAAAGCCCATCGCGCCCTCCTTCCCTCCCGTCCAGGTGGGCGCTGGGCTCTTTGCGAGGACCCCGGCGGCGGGCCCGGGGGAGGCGGCCGAGGCGGCGGCCGGGGGCGACATGGCCGAAGAGCAGGACCTGTCGGAGGTGGAGCTGAGCCCCGTGGGCTCCGAGGAGCCCCGCTGCCTGTCCCCGGGGAGCGCGCCCTCGCTGGGGCCCGACGGCGGCGGGGGCGGCGGCGGCGGAGGCTCGGGCCTGCGGGCCAGCCCGGGCCCCGGCGAGCTGGGCAAGGTCAAGAAGGAGCAGCAGGACGGCGAGGCGGACGACGACAAGTTCCCGGTGTGCATCCGCGAGGCCGTCAGCCAGGTTCTCAGCGGCTACGACTGGACGCTGGTGCCCATGCCCGTGCGCGTCAACGGCGCCAGCAAGAGCAAGCCGCACGTGAAGCGGCCCATGAACGCCTTCATGGTGTGGGCGCAGGCGGCGCGCAGGAAGCTGGCGGACCAGTACCCGCACCTGCACAACGCCGAGCTCAGCAAGACGCTGGGCAAGCTCTGGAGGTGAGCAGCCCGCGCGGCCCCAGCTCTGGCCAGACTGCGGGGGTGCGGGCTAGCCTGGGGTGCTCTAGCCTCCTGACCCCGGGGCAGGGCTGGCTGGGAAGACCCCTGGGAAGAACAGGTTGGGGACCGCGCCCCCCCCCATCTGCCATAAGTAGCCTCTTGGGGTTGCCTGGGTGTGCATCCCGGAACTCAGCCCTCCACCAGCCGGGTCTCCCCAACCTGGGCACAAGCAGGAAGGCGCCCCCTCGCGGCTGGAATTCTGCTGTCGGCGGCGGGTCTTGGGGCCAAGGCCTGAGCGCCAAGGAGGGATGGGGAGGCTTCGTGCCTGGGGCCTACTGACTGTGCCACATTGGCACTCACTAAGGGTGCCCGCCCCACCAGCGCCAGGGGCCAGGGCGATATGGCGGAGACGCTCCAGAAAGAACTCAAGGCCTGGCTGGAGATGCTGGGAAACGGAGGCAGACAGATGGAGAACTGAAGGGAGGGTCAAGGAAGACAAGGAACCCAGAGGGATCTTGGGACTGAAGGGAGAACTGCCCGCCCTGCCCCTGCAGTGTCTCCTCTGCCCCAGCTATCTTGCCAGCCTTCTCCACCCCACCCTCCCTGGACTGAGGGCTTCTTCAATCCCAGCAGAGGGGACACACAGGAAGAGGCCTCCCCTGCCACCCTGTCCCAGAACCTCCAAGCTGGTTTCCACGCCTTCCCTCCCTCTCCCAGTTGGGCGCCATCTTCCCTCGCAGGCCCCACCCAGTGTTGAGCAACCTCTTCCCCCAGCCCTGGAGCTGGGGTTGAGCAGCACACCAGGACGCTTTGGTCCCTTTCCTACCCAGGGTCTAGAGTCCCAGGGTTCTGGGGAAACAGCCCCTCAGGGAGGAACTCTCAATGCTGACTTGGGCTGAGGCTCACCCCCAGGGAGGTGTGGACAGGGCACCCCCACCCCAAAAGTCCCAGGGCAGCTCCTAAGAGAACCTGGGTTCCAGCAGATGCCAGCCTGCAGAGGTCACTTGATCCCCTCTAGACTGGCCCAGAAAGGCACGGCAAAGGTCACATAGCAGTTGGCAGAGCCAGAACCAGAGCCAGGTCTCCCACCTCATAGTCAGAGGTCTTCCCCACTGGTCACTGGTGGCAGTCGTGGGTCACTCCTCACTGTAAGGTATGGCCGGGAGATGGTGAGGGTGGGGGCATAGAAGAAGTGGCAGAAGTGTGGCACAGCTGGGTTTGAGGGAATCTGGGGTCCATCCCAGGAACTTGCCCCCTCTTGCCCCTCCTTCGCTGGCCCAGCGCAGTGGCAATGAGGTCTAGAAGCCAAAGGCTGGAAGGAGCAGGAGGGTCCCCAAGAGGCCAAGAGATGTGCATCCACCCCCCTGTCGGCCCTTGCCATGTGCTTGTGAAGGCCTGGTGCCCCTCTGCAGCCCTCTCACCTGGGCTCCAGCTGCCTGTCTTGTGTGGGCCCAGAGAGCCCAGATCTGTCCAGGAGCAGAGGTGGCAGCCAGCTGCTTTGCCCAGGGTCCATCCAGATGGGGGAGAGGTGAGGAGGGCCCCCCCCCCAGGCCAATGTCTTTGAGCCCATGGGACAAAGAACAAGAACCAGAAAACTGGGAGGGAGACAGAACAAGCAGAAGCTCCAGGCCCTAGGGACTGTGATCAGAGAGATGAAGCAAGGTTGGACCCCCATTCTGTACTCCCCACTGCTGAGGTTTAGGACGGGCCCTTCTGTTGTCCCTGTCCCAGTTCCCCCACCCTGGAACCATGGATTTGGGGCCAGTTTGGGAGGACTTGCCCTGCCACCACTCAGGATTGCCCAAAGGGCTCTACCTGCCCAGGGCAGTCAGCAGAGCAGGCCCTGCTGGCTGAGGACGCAGCCCCAGGGTTGGAGTGACAGGACAGTGGCAAGGACCCAAGGCCATGCCAACAAGTGGAGGCTACCTGGGCCCAGGTGGGGGTCTTAAGAGATTCTGGGATGTGGGCTAGACTAGTCAATCACTCCAGGGGCTTCTCCCGAAACCTCCTCCCAAGATCCTGACCCTGGGCCACCAGGAAAGTGGGTGGCTTGGTTCTAAAACTGCACAGAGACAGTCAGGCTGGCAGCTGGGAAGTGCCACATGCAGGCCAGAGCCCTGCAGCACAAGGCCTAAGTGGCTGTGAGAGCACCGCCAGGCACCCTGACCTCCAGTGCCACCTGGGAGGAGCGTTGGATGCCGATCCCAGGAGCAGTGGGGCCCACCCAACTGCCTGGAAAGCACCATCAGCACCGAGAAACTGGGAAGAGGTCACAGGCTGGAGCCCTCCCCATGTGGTGAGGCTCAGCCAGCCTGCCTGCCCACACTTAGGCCCCTAGACCCCATCCACAGATAGTCATCGCATGCCATTGGCCTGACGGGAAGACATGTGTGGCAGCAGCCATGTCCCTCTGGGAGCCTCCAGTTGGGGTTTCCAGTTTGGGTGGAGAATCACTCCCCTCCCCTCTTTCTGAAACGGAGCAGGAAGAGGGCAAATGAGAATTGCCCTGGGGTCCCATGGTGGGAGTTGGGGGGCAATGCCAGGGGGTACTGGTGGGAGTCGGGGTTAGCTGTGACGTTGGAATGGGTGGATGGGGTGAGGAGAGGAGAGAAGAGAGTGAACAAAGCTGGGGTTGGGATGGACGTGGGGTTGCAGCTGCAGCTGGTCGGGTGCCAGAGTTGGGGTGGCTCTGGGCCCTGGGTTAGGTTCCTGTCAGGGTGACAGCACTGCTGAGAACTAGCTGGGGATGCAACAGTGTTAGAAGCTCTCCTCTCTGGCCTATACAGCCCCCTACACACACGTGCGTGCACACACACACACACACACAGATGCACGCACACACATACACATACCCTGCCGCTTTCATGCTGGTTGCTGCTTTCCAGCTGGGCAGGGAGCCCTGGGAAGGGTCGGGGTCAGAAAGCCAGCTAGGGTTGCCATCCACTCCGCCATGGGGGCTGCACTGGAGGAGCCACTCTGAGTGCCGTGTGGTTTTCCCCAGGACGGGTGCCTCCATCCTCGCCCCTGACTCCCCATCCTGCTTCGGGTCTCCATCGTAGGCACTGTAGGTGGACACTGTCCTTCATGGCACGTTGCTCAGCTGGATGGCCCCTTGGAGAAAGCTGGGTGAAGGTGGCGGGCAGGCAGGGAGGCTAAGCTGCAGAGGAATGCTGGGCCGGTGAGGAGGTGCCTGGTATGACCACCCCCTCCTGGTCCGGTCTGGGAGAGGGGCTCCCCCTGCTGCCCGGGGGAGAGGGCCGCTGGGCACAGGGGTGGGGCAGCTGGAGAGAGCCCCACACACACAGTAGACTGGGCTGCTGCCACACGGCACTGCTGGGCTCTCTGTGCCCACGTCTGGGAGCAATCTATCCCTTCCCTCAAGCCCTCTGCCAGGGGCCCCCTTCCCCCACTTCCCTCTCTGACCCTCACCTGAGGCTGAGGTCTAGGGAACAGGGCCACCACCCTCCCTCCATGGGCTGAGCTCAGGGACTGTCCCAGGGCTGGGAAGAGACTCGAGCTTCCTCTGCCCTTTGTCACTCCCTGGACAGAATACAGGAGACAGTGGCTCCATGATGAGTGGACTCACACCCAGCCCCTCTCAGTCCCACTGCACTGGAGCTCACAAAATCAGTACCCTGGACTCAGGGGTCACTCCTAGGTCTTCCTGTCCAACACCCCCACCCCAACAGCACTAGAACAGCACCTGTTTCTCAGGGGGCCCCATACTCCAGTGAAGTAGACATTATCATCCTCATTTTGTAGGTGAAGAAACTCAGACTCAGAGAAGTAACTTGCTCACGGTCACACACACAGCTAGTAAGTAGCAGAGACCGGGCTCATTCCCCAGCAGCTGCTTCTCTGCTTGCACACCTCCAGCCCCAGGGAGCTCACCCCCTAACGAGGCAGCTAGTTCCACTTGCAGACAGCTTTGGTAAGGAGAACGTTTTTCCTTTCCTTGAACTCATATCTGCCCCTTGTAACTTCTGTGCCTACTTTTAAACCCATCGCAGGGGCCTGACTCTCTCACTCTCTGGCCCCTGAGCAATTTGGGGGGCAGATCCCAGCCCTCTGGGGTACGCATCTTCCAGTCCATAAGCACAGGACACAGCCCCCACTGGCCCTCTGTCTGTCTGGGGTCCTCTTGGGCCTCCTGGCTTGCAGGGCTGACACTGAGAGGGAGCCCAGTGGGGAGCTCTGGGACTCACGCCGGCTCTGCTGTCCTTCCCACCACCCACCCAGGCTGCTGAATGAGAGTGACAAGCGCCCCTTCATTGAGGAGGCTGAGCGACTCCGCATGCAGCACAAGAAGGACCATCCAGACTACAAGTACCAACCCAGGCGGCGGAAGAATGGAAAGGCAACCCAGGGGGAGGCTGAGTGCCCAGGTGGAGAGGGCGAGCCAGGAGGGGGTGCTGCCATCCAGGCCCACTACAAGAGCGCCCACCTGGACCACCGGCACCCGGAAGAGGGCTCCCCCATGTCGGACGGGAATCCCGAGCACCCCTCAGGTGAGTGCTGGCTGGGAGCCGCCGGGGTGTGGAAGGCAGAGCTGGGGGGCGGAGGCTGGGCAGTGGCGCGGAGGGGCTGCAGGGCTGGGATCCGGATGCCCCCAGCGGCCCTCGACTGACTCTGGGAGGGGCTTTCCAGGCCCTGCCATTGCCCCAGCTGGGATGTGGGGACAGAGAGGGAGCTCAGTGGGGACTCTGGTGCGGGGGAGATGGCCGAGCAAGATGGCATGAACCATGGCTGATAGAGAGGGCACTGATGCGGGGCAAAGAGAGCCAGATCAGGAAGCCATGGAGGCTATGGGCTAAGTGGCTGCAGCAGTTATGAGGAAGAGGGGGCAGGCTGACTTTGAGAAATGGCAGGTCAGATGGAGGAGAGGAAACCATTGCCTTGCCCACCTCCTGCTCTGATGGGGCCCATGCCTGTGACGCTGAGTGTGTGTCACAGACGGGCAGACACGGGATATCTTGCTAAATGCTCACTAACTATAATCAGAGCTGACATTAGTTGAGCACTTACTGTGTGCCAGGCACTGTGCCCATGGCCTCATAGGCACTGACTCCTTTCATCCTCCAGTCACCCCTGAGCAGTGTGGCGGGTGCCCACCTGCCAGGCTTCGGACTCAGATGTGTGCAGGTCACTCACTGTTCCTTAAGGGAGAGGAAATGGAAGAGGAATCTGCCATGCAGCCCAGGCAGTTAGGCTCTGGGGCCTCTGCTTGGCCTATACCCACCATGCTTACATCCCTGATGCACAGAAAATGCCGTGCTCGGGGCTGGTGCACCAGAAGTACTTGAGGCACTGCCATCAGAAGACACACTGGGTTCTACTTTGTCAGGGGCACAGTGGGTTCTACTGTGAGTCACAGGGGGCACCTCCGAAAGGAGCCCACAGTCTGCAGGGAGGAGCAGGGATGAGAGGAAGTGGATTATGTTTAGGAAGAAACAAGTACAGGAGAAGCCTTAGCTGGAGGTGGCGTCCTCTAGGGAGGAGCCATCCACCTGTTTACCCAGTTAGATTGCCAAAAACAGCTGACTGTCAGCTTCGGTCAAGGAAGGCTTCCAGGAGGCAGTGTCTGTGCTTCTTGGTCTCTCCTCTGTCTTACTGACAAGGAAATTGCTTAAGAGAAGTTGGGAGTGGTGGTCCATGCCTGTGTTCCTAGCACTCTGGGAGGCTGAGGCAGGAAGATCAAAAGTTCAAGCCGAGCCTAGGCATCTTAACAACTTAGTGAGATGCTGTCTCAAATTTTTTTTAAAAAAAGCCAATGCAGGACTTAGCACTGCCTCTGGTCTGATGGAGGAGGCACGGCCTGCCCTGCAGGACTCCTGGACTGCAGGACTATGAACCAGTCTCTCTTGTGGGATGCCCACTCCCGCCCGCCATCCCCCTGCACAGCTGTTCTTCCCAGCTTCAAAGCTGGAGGGACACACACACACACACACACACACACACACGCACGCACACACACCTAGGGCCCTGGACATGTACAGAACCACCACCACCAGGAGTGAAACTGTGGGCATGAATTTTTTTCTCCTCTTTCAAGGTCCCCTGCCAGACTCTTCCTCAGTGAGACTTCCCCCACTGTGCCAGGGCAGGAGAAAGCCACCTCCTCTGGTCTCCCAAGTCCTTTTCGTGTCCCACTCTAGGCATGGGTGGGTCTCTGATCTCTCCCAGCTATGAGCTTTTGGGGACAGAGCTGCAACATATTTGTCTATATCTGCCGCACCTGGGCCAGTGCTTGGCACGAAGCAGTGCCCCCTGGGTAAATCAGCTGTGTGACTGTGTAGATAAGAAAAGGAACGAAAGGACAGGGGATCTCAGTGCCCTCCTGAACAACTCAAGGGCCAGCAGGGCAGCACAGGCCAGTGTGATGGAGCTGGGCAGGGTGGGCACCGGGCAGGATGGGGCGGAGAGCAGGGTTGGAGGGGACATGGCATCATCTGGGGACCCTGGGCAGGGAGCAGGCACAGTGAGACCAACAGTCCAGAATCCCGAGGGCAGAGGAGGCTCAGCAGGCAGAGCAGAGATGGAGAGTTCCCTGAAAAGCAGACAGAGCCGAGGGCCACACCAGCCCAAGGTCAGCAGCTGCAGGACAGCGGGAACAGGAAGGATGGGGCGCTGGGAGCTGACAGGAGGTGGGAGGCAGGACCCATCTCCAAGATCTGAGAATGTCATCAACAGGAGACAAGCCTGAAGCCAATAGATAAACAAATACCAATCATAAAAGATAGATGATAGAAAAGAAAAAACTACCAACTTGCTGACAAAACATGTAAACCTTCTGAGGTCAGCAGGGTTCAGACCTTAGCTTCCTGGTCCTCACCGCCTGACGGTCTCCTCCTTGCTCTTCTCTGTCTCCCTCCACCCAGGCCAGAGCCATGGCCCACCCACCCCTCCAACCACCCCAAAGACAGAGCTGCAGGCGGGCAAGGCAGACTCCAAGCGGGATGGGCGCTCCCTGGGGGAGGGCGGGAAGCCTCACATCGACTTCAGCAACATGGACATCGGTGAGATCAGCCACGAGGTCATGTCCAACATGGAGACCTTTGATGTGGCCGAGTTGGACCAATACCTGCCACCCAACGGGCACCCGGGCCACGTGGGGAGCTATTCGGCAGCCGGCTATGGGCTGGGCAGCGCCCTGGCTGTGGCCAGTGGACACTCCGCCTGGATCTCCAAGCCACCAGGCGTGGCTCTGCCCACAGTCTCGCCACCTGGCGTGGATGCCAAGGCCCAGGTGAAGACAGAGACCACAGGCCCCCAGGGGCCCCCGCACTACACTGACCAGCCGTCCACCTCGCAGATCGCCTACACCTCCCTCAGCCTGCCACACTATGGCTCCGCCTTCCCCTCCATCTCCCGCCCCCAGTTTGACTACTCTGACCATCAGCCCTCAGGACCCTATTACGGCCACTCGGGCCAGGCCTCTGGCCTCTACTCGGCCTTTTCCTACATGGGGCCCTCTCAGCGGCCCCTCTACACGGCTATCTCTGACCCCAGCCCCTCAGGGCCCCAGTCCCACAGCCCCACACACTGGGAGCAGCCAGTATATACGACGCTGTCCCGGCCCTGAAGGGAGCTCTGTCTCGGCCAGCCCCACCCCCAGCCTGTGTGTCCTGTTCCTCTCCCATCTCGGCCTGACCGTGGTAGTGGCGGGGGAGGAGCCTGCAGAGGCTGACAGCAGAGGGGCAGCTTTCCGCCAGCTCCCTGCCCTGATGACCCACTGCCCCGTCCGAGCTCCAGAGCCCCAGCCCTGGCTGACAGCTGAGTGGAGGAGAAGGCGGGTGACAGCTGCCCCTCCCCTAGAGATGACTCTCTATCCCAGAACCTAGGAGGGACCCACTCACCCCCTGGGGGAGAAGGCAGCGTCTGGGCATGGGTGGGCATCGGAGGCCTTGCCACTCCTGTTGCCCCTCTCATGGAGAGGGAGGGTCTGGTGGGGCCTGGAGCCTAAGAGCTATGCCACCCAGGGACTTGCATCAGAGCCTGGAGCTGGCTGTGTCGCCCAGGGGCTGGGGACAGCTCTGAGCAGCCCCGTGGGAGGGGCTAGGGGGAGTTCTCAGCCCTTCAAGGTCCCCTCCCCTCCTGAATGCAGGAAGAAACTGGCACACAGGCCCCCACGTCCAGTTCTGCGCCAATAACCTCACTGTCTAATCGAGGTGAGCCCCCAGGCAGCCCTGTCCCCGCCTCCTAGACCTTCAGGCCACCCCAGCTGAGGAGGCCGGGGCTCCAGGAAAGGATTCAGAGACAGACTATGGAGCCTTTCTGCTGGGGCTCCTGGCCAGCGCCCTTTCCTCACTCCACTCTGCCAGTGCCACCTCCCTGGCTCCAGAGCTCGAGCTCTGAGCTGCGCAGGCCCAGGTCCTCAGTTCCAGGAGACTTGGGGCCCAGCGCCCGGGTTGTGGGCAGCAGCTGAAGACACTAAGATCCCAATGTGTACATTCTGCCCTTGCCTTCCGCCCTTTGCCTCCCAGTATCTGAATAAAGTATGTAGCTGTTATCTGCCCCCACTCTCCTGTTCTCCTGTGGCCCCACCGTCCGCATGTAACGCATTACTGTCCCCCCTTATTTATCTCAGTAGTCCCCTCACTCCTCCCCTCTCCTAGTGGCTCCAGCCAGCCCCTATTAACTCTGCATTAAGCATTCCAAGTAATAAAATTAAAGGTTCCAGTTACCTGTGTGATGGGCCTGGCCTGTCTCTTGGTCTCTTGTCCCTGCCCTGTGCTTCCTCAGGGGGTTTCCGGAAGTAGCTAGGAAGAGGGTGTGGGGCCCTCCATTCACCCAGTAAGGTGGAATTTGCAAAGAATTCAAGGGACAGGTGTTAGAAAGGGGTAGTTGGGGTGACTCCCGTTGGCAGTCAGGCCTGGGCCCTTAAACATGTGTGATGAACCGAGCATGGTGGCATAGGCCTGCAATCCCAGCACTCGGGAGGCTGAGGCAGGAGGATCACTGAATTTGAGGTCAGCCTGAGCTACACAGTGAGACCCTATCTCAAAAAAACCGAAAAGTGGGCTGGGGATTTAGCTCAGTGGTTCCACTGCTTGCCTCGAAAGCATAAGGTCTGGAGTTCAATCCCCTGTACCAAAAAAACTATGTGTGATGTACAGATGGGCTGCCTGTTGCCACACCCACCTGCCTCCTCCCCCAGAGTGCACACACATGCGCACACACATGATATACACACCCTGGCCCATGCCAGGGCCTAGCTGAGCTTTCCCAGCACAGCCTGTCCAGGTCAAAACCAGGGATGTGAACCAGCCCACCTCACAGGCACATAACCCAGGGACAGGCAACCTCCTCACCCCTGCTGTACTGACAGGCAGCTCAGATGGGTGGAAGTCCTCATGGTAACCAGAAGGGCTATCACGTAGTACGTGCTACTAGGTCAAGGAGCCCAGTGCTCCGTGTTTTATGTCATTCAGGACTTTAAGGGATACATTCCATCCTTATTTCAATTTTCCAACCGAAGCTCTGGGAGGTTGGATCTCAGAAGCGCTGGCCCAGAGGCTGAAACCCAGCATTGACTCCAAAGCTTACACTGTGGAACATCTTCTCCTCCACCTGCACTGGGCTTGCAGACTACTTCCGGTTCCAGTATGGAGCTTTAAATCTGCTGCAGTCTGAGCTCTTCCCTTCCATCTGTGGTCTCCAGCGCCCTACTTCCTGGTCAAGGCCAGGGCAGGGTGGACACAGGGAGCTAACTCAGTCCCCCTGGGATGGCGGGACCCCTCCATCTGGAAGCTGCATCAAGGAACCTTTCTGGACCACTTGCCCAAAGCTGCTGGCTCCACGAAGCTTGGTGACTGAAAGTCCTGCTCTTTCAATGTCTGCTTCGAAGTCTGACCACCCTAACTGTATATAAGCCACTTACGGTGTTTTCTTTTGTTATAAAGGCAGGATTTTATTCTGATCACTAACAGATCGTCTTGTTGGATGTGATCCACCTACCTGTATTATATCTTGGAACCTAGCTGTCCTCCAAAATGTGTATCTGCAAATGTGAATCTCCTCATTAAGTCACTAATAAAGGTCAAAACCAAGACAGGGCCCTGTGTACATCCCTAAGTATCTCCCCCCATCAGTTCTCTTCTCTGTACTCCTAGACACAGGCTGTCTAATCAGTTCAGAAACTACCTCATTACATCACCACCAAATACCCACTTCTCCATCTGTCACAGCTGTCGGGAGACTGCCCAGTGCCTCACTAAAACCAAGATCTGTGATCTGGGGCATTCCCTAGACCTACAAAACCAGAAACCATTAGGGGAAAAAAAAAAAACCAATTTGTCAATATTGAATACTCTTAGGAACCGTGCTAGACCTCCACTTTATCATCTCAGTGCTGTCAAACATGTAATAACCTATTCCAGAATTCCAGTATGGATGGGTCAGTGCTAACCTTATATGCCCCTAACGTTCACCACTCACTTTCCCCTATTGAAAGGCAGGACACCTGTCCACTTCCGGTCTTTTCATAGCTCCTGCTCTCTGGGCCACTGTGCACATGGAGTTGGCAGGGCAGAGGAACAGGTGGTATCCAGCTGAATCCACCACCTCCAGAACCCTGCACCTTATAGGACTGGGTGTGGAGAAATGGCACCAGGAGAGGACAAATGACCCTGGGGAAGCCAGAAGACGTGGCTACATGCTTCCCTTAGACAACAGGTTCTGGGTGAGCTTGGGCCTTGGTGCTGTATTAGCTCCACTTGCAAAGAGGGGGAGCAGGTGTTTCTGGAAGACTGCGGAGCCTATGCCCAAAGTAAGGAAATACAGACCCGGTAGTGGTGGTGGGTGACTTTACATTTAAGAGAGGTCAAACCCAGGCCCAGCTAGCTGAATAAGGGGCTCCCCAAAGAGGAGCAGAACAGGAAGGGGGAGGTGAGAGCAGACACCCCTTCCTCCCGTTTCCTTACACCCTATCCCCTAAGGGTTAACCCCCCCCCTCCCAAATCCCATCTCCCTTTAATCACATCTGATACTGAGCGGCCCAGCAGGGAACAAAGAGACCATTTAGAGAAATGGGGCCGAGAAAGTGACCCCCGCACTCTGGGGCGGCTGCCTGGATGCCAGCACAAAGGCGGCATTTCAGAGCTGAAATTTCAGCACCCAACTTGATTAAAGGATTCCACAGGCTTGGAGGAGGGTGGCAGGGGTGCGAAGTCCACCCTCCCTGATTTAACCCTTCTCCAGAGCAGCCAGCACCCCTCCCACCCTGGGGCCGCTCATCCTTCCCATCCCATCCAGGGTGCCATCCCAGAGAGCACTGCCTCTTGCAGGTCAGGCAAGCCTGGCTCCTCCTCCTCCCCTGTGGCAGGAAGCTGGCAATGGAATGGAGGTCAGGTTGGCATATTTGGGAGCCAATCTTCCCTTCCATCTATGCTAGTGTCCACATACACCCTCTCCCTGTCCCCAGAAGAGGGAGGAGCCAATGTGACTGGTTCTCCTTTAGCAGGGTAAGCAAGCTAGAGAAGATGAGCAAGGCAGAGAAGGGGAGCTCCTAGGCTGAACCCAGAAGCGTGGCATCCCCGCACCCAGCTCAGTCCAGCCTGAGGACCACAGGCCACCACAGCAGAGAAAGGGCACTTTACAGGGCTGGGAGGAGAGGGTGCAGTTGTGTTGGGCCAGGGGCAGGCCATGGAGGGCAGTGTGTGACAGTGGCCTGAGGAGTGGGCCGGGGGCTGGGGGTGAGCAGGTGCTCAGTCCTGCTCCAGCTGCTGCCTGGGTTCTGCTGGGGAGGGTGGGAGATCACCACACCCCCACACTTCCTGCTGGGGCACTGCTCCTGAAAGGGGATCCCAGCCCTCGATAAGGCTTGAGGCAGGTCCTTAGGAAACAATGGGTGGCTTGATGAGACCTGCTCTGTGATACTCCTGAGAAGGGAGAAGCCCCTGTAGCCAGTCCCCACTGGAAAGGAAATTGGGGGTTTCCATGGCAACCAGCTTCCTGGGCACAAAGACTCTCTGTCTGCTGGGAAGGCAGCTGAGGTGTCTCCCCTGCAGCAGCCTTTGCTCTGGGGAGCAGGGACACAGAGGGAGGGATGTGGGGGACCCATGGGGGCCAAGGGCCCCGGTGCTTCTTAAAAAGCTGACAGTCACGGGGCCATGGCGCTAAGTGCATGCTCCGGGCAGCAGGGAGGCAGCAGGTGGTGGCACTGCAGACAGCTGGAAGTGGAGGGGTCAGAGGTTAAATAGTTTATTATGTACAAGTATAAAGTGAGACTAGAAACTGGCAGCGGCGAGCCCAGAAGACGTCTCCAGCTCAGTCCGTGATGATGAGCTCGTCCACTCCCCAGTCTTCATAGCTCCCATCGGGCAGGTAGCGGCGAATGATGATAGGGATCTTCCGGGCCCTGTGAGGGGAGAAGTCAGTGCGTGAGGGCTGTGTCTCAGCAATGCCCACCCCTCTCCCCCTCACAATCCCCCTCTCTCCTGGAGCAGGGACTCACTTGAGCTCCTTCATGGCGATGAGCAGGGGATCTGTCTCCCCCTCCAGCTCCACCATTACCGGGGCGCACATCCTGCAGGCACAAGGAATGTGTGGGAGAAGAGACAGCAACCCGGGGCGGGGCTGGTGTCCTGGTCCTCACCAAACAAGGTCACCTGCTACCTGCCACCGACCTGCTCAATGAACACAGATCTACATGGGGAGCCAGCAAGCTGGATTTCAATTGTGCCTCCCAAGACAGGTCACTGACCTTCTCTCCAAATCTCAGTATTCCCATTTGAAAATCAAGAAAACACTCCGTGCCTTGCCTCGCCATTGATGCTAAAATCCCACTGCCTGATAGCAGACTAACGAGGTGCTGTCTGTGGTTGTGAGCGCTGTAAAAAATGATCCCCTGTGAGTGAGTACTCCTTTCATTTCCCGTTTACTGGTGAGAAAACAGAGGCACAGAGAGGCTGGTAAGTTGCCCAAGGTCACACAGCCAATAAGTGGCAGAGCCAAGATGTGAACCCCACATGCCCCTAACCACTGTGCTATCACACTTGCAATAAACTTGGATCTATAAACTAAAGATGCTATGAATGACACCAGCATAAGCTTTCATCACTAGGCCACAGAGCAGTCACAAGTCAGCTCCCTGCCACGAACCTTGCCTAGCCGCGACTGCAGATGGAGCGCAGCAGCCATGACAGAACATCCAGCAAAGGGGCCTCCGATCTGACCTGCAACCACGCCATGGGCCTAACTCAGTGCCCAACTGTCTCACTCTCCTTCCCTAGCATAGCAACCACCCCTCAGGGTCTCTTCTCCAGCCTCTATGTGAGGCCTAAGGCGGGAGCACTTGGCTACTTACAATCCCCCACGACCTCCCAGCACCATCAGGCCAGAGGGCAGTCCCTGGTCCTCCTGTTAGCACCCTCTCCTGCTTCTTCCCTGCCCCTGCCCCACATTTTAGGTTCCCCGTGCTATGGTATGAAAGGGTCCCTCAAATTCATGTGTCCGTGGATCTGGAGGTGGGGCCTCTGGGAAGCGATGAGGGTCAGAGGGGGCCATAGGGTGGGCCCCCTTCACGGCGAGAGTGCCTCTGTCAGAGGAAGACAGGCCTGAGCCTGAGTGAGCACACTTGCTCTGCATCACCATGTGGGGGCTCTGTCATGTGACAAGGGCAGAGGGGCCATGCTCTCGGACTCCAGAACTGTGAGCCCAATGAGCTGAGCCATGTGACCCAGGCTCAGATACTTGGTCACAGCCACAGGAAACAGACTACGACACCTGGACATTCCACGCTGCATCCCTTCTGAGTCCTCAGACAGCTCTTCCTCTCCAGACAAGCCTGGGGGAGGCTTAAGTGTGTCCACCATGGAAATCGCTTGCTGCATGCCCCACACCCGACTCATCCGCATCTGTTTTTCTTGGTACCAAGTTCACCGGGGATCGTCCACAACAGGCCATAAGCTCCACGTGGCCTGGGACACGGGATTCCCCAGGGGGGCCCAGGCCCTCTCGCAACACCTAGCCCACAGCAGAGGCTCCAGGCATAGGCAGGGAACGCTAATTCTAGGCCACCTCCTCCAGGAAGCCAGCCTTGGTTATTCCAGCTCGAGTTTCACAGTGGATCTGGAAGTACTAAAGGATGCTAACATCCAGGCTCCAGAAGTCTTTCTCCAGATCCTCTGAGCAGAATCTCTCACGAAGGGGCCTGAGCATCTATATCTGCATAGTTGCTCAGATGATTCTGATCATCAGCCAGTCTGAGAGCCAGCACTTAAAATGAATTTTCTGACTAATTTTATTTTTTCATCACTTACCAATTTTCTTACTAAATATTCTGATTTGGATTACTCTCAAAAGCCTGAAAATTTCCCAAGGGTGAGGCTAAGTGTTTAACTTCCCCCGTGTCCTCTCTCAGTAAGTATTTATGTTCCCAGGGCTGGGGGTATAGCTCAGTGGTAGAGCACATGCTTTGCATGTGTGAGGCCCTTCACTGCAAGAGAAAAAATGAAATAAATGTCGGCCAAGTATAAAGCTTTAAACAACATGGCAAGATGCTTACTCTGATCTGCCTATGACTTCTTTCTTTCAAGGAATAACTCAAGGTCACTCATTCACCCAGGCCTACCATGCTCATGGAATTAGCAAAGCACAGGAGTGGGACCTTGAGTATATGAACATGTCCTATTCAGTCAGGAAGTAGATAAAACAAGCACCTCGGCCACCAGATGGTGCTAGGAACCAGACTGAAACTTCATTCAAAACCTAGCCAAAAATGTTGAAGCAGGGCATGGTGCCATAAACCTGTAATCCCAGAACTCAGGAGGCTGAGGCAGGAGGATGGCCATGAGTTTGAGGTAGCCTGGGCTATACAGTGAGTTCATAGCCAGCCTGAACTACCTAGTGAGATCCTGTCTCAAAAAAGAAGAAAGAAAGAAAAGAAAAGACAAGCCCAATCTAGGGCTGGGGATTTAGCTCAGTGGTTCTGCCGCTTGCCTCACAAGCACAAGGACTGGAGTTGAGCCCTGGTATCAAAAAAAAAACAAAAACAAAAAACAAAAAACACACCAATCTGAACCTGTCCCTCCAGGCACTGGTGACATCT